AGACCATCCTGGTCAACATGGTGAAACCCCGTCTCTACTAAAAATACAAAAAATCAGCTGGGCGTGGTGGCGCGTGCCTGTAGTCCCAGTTACTTGGGAGGCTGAGGCAGGAGAATTGCCCGAACCCAGGAGGCGGAGGTTGCGGTGAGCCGAGATCGCGCCATTGCACTCCAGCCTGGGTAACAAGAGCGAAACTCCGTCTCAAAAAAAAAAAGTAATTATGGGATGCGTGCTTATAGTCAGATGGTGGAGCATTGGCCTTAGTATAGTAAGCAGTAGAGAACCAGTAGAGAGTCTTAAGTTGGGGAGACATGATGGAAGGGATGCTTCAAGGCTGTTAATTTGAAAATAGTATGTACAGAGTGCATTTATAGGAGAAGATTGAGGTAATCCACTACTCCGCTAATTCAGGTTATTGTGATGGGCCTCATAGGAGCTAATGGGAACTCCCAGTCAGGATTACAGATGTTGATTTGAGACTTATCTGCTCAGAGGTGAAACCTGAAATCAGGGAGGTAAGGTAACTGGAAGAGAAGAGAGTGCTAGTACCGAAGGTCAACTTACAAGTCCCCCCACACTTAGCTGGAGCCAGACTGGGCAACCAGATAGGACCTGCACCTGTGAATTACTTGTTAATTGTTTAGAGAAGCAGAAGGACATTTACAAATTATTCTGTCCAAGAAACAAAGTTCCAGGGAACAGTGGTGTCATATTTCATAAAGTTTTGAAGAAGAGTTTGAGATTTAAGTAAAAGAAGTCATTTATGACTCACTGGAGTGCTGTAGAGTGATGAGGGCAAAAGACAAGAAACCTCATTTGGTTTTATGGAAGGACCCTTGGATTTAAAAAAGATGGTACTCATGTGGTTAATCATTCAGATGTAATACAGTACAGCCTGGGTAACAATAGGAGCGCAACAGTAAATGGATAGCAAAGAGGTAGGAAATTAGAACTCGTGATTCATTTCAATCTCTGAATAAGATCTTGTGATTAAATTAGAAGTTCTTTTTTACTTTCCTGTAGTTTCAAAGTTGAACAAATGGTGTATTGTACTTCCTAAACTAAACAAACAATAGAGAATAAAGCACAGTAATGATGTTCCACATACAAAAAGAGTCTCTCTGTCATTTGGATAGTAATGTCTTTGTGGATTTTTTTTCCCCTCCTAGAACTTGTTCAAGTTGATGTTTACCCAGTTCCAAATTATCTGTCCTACATGGATGTTTCAAGGTAAGAAGTCAAGTCTAAGAGCCCTCTAGAGTCTACTAGAAAATTATTTAGTAATTCCGCCTGAGCTTATGCACAAGTACTTTTTTGTATTTTGAAGGTAAATGATAAAAAATTAATGATTTTTACTTTATTCTCTAAAATTATATATGTTGTTGATTAAAATACATCTGTAGTTCAAACCAGAGCATCAAAGTGTCAGTGTGTACACCAATTTGAATACCAGGTTTGGACTTGAAAGATTGGTGAGTTGAGTGTCATATGTCTTACAGATCTAATAACTCTTTTCATTATATGAATCATGTTTTTGTGTCTTTCCCTGAAGTAATGCTAATTTTATTTTTTATTTTAAAAAAGATTAACAGTAAAAAAAGAAAAATGAGCGTGTCAATGTCTAGGGCTTCAAATCCAGAACTGTATGTGCCTATACAGACACTAAGCAGAAAATAATTCCTTTCATTTCTGTATTTTAATTGAGGAGTTGATATAATTACAAAATTAAAAGAATATGAATAATGCATAATTCCACCACCCTAACATCACAATTATTTTTCCTTTTGCTCTAAAATCTTATAATTCTTACCCTGACTGTTATGTTTTCACAGAATTATTTATCTGTGTATAAAGAATTATAGTCATAATGTACATACTGTTTGAAATTCTTTGTGCCTGGTCACTTTACGTATTTTAAAAAGAAAGTAAAAGGCTAACCAATGTGACTAGGGACACATTCAAATAGAGTAGTTTGTCTGAGTAATGATCAATTCAATTAATACAGACACCATTAGTTTAGTTCTCTCTCTCTCTCTCTCTCTCCGTGTGTGTGTGTGTGTGTGTGTGTGTGTGTGTGTGTGTGTGTAATTTTAAGACGGTGTTTCACTCTTTGTTGCCTGGGCTGGACTGCAGTGGTGCGGTCTTGGCTCACTACAACTTCCGCCTCCCAGGTTCAAGCAATTCTCCTGCGTCAGCCTCCCAAGTAGCTAGGATTACAGGCATGCACCACCATGCCCAGCTAATTTTTGTATTTTTTAGTAGAGATGGGGTTTCACCATGTTGGTCAGGCTGGTCCTGACCTCTGGTGATCTGCTGGCCTCGGCCTCCCAAAGTACTGGGATTACAGATGTGAGCCACCGCACCTGGCCTAGTTCTCTTTTTTATAGTAACTATAATTGCCATCTAGTGCCCAAGTAAATGTTTTTATATAATTAATTCTGACCCTTAACTGTTAGTGAACTTTTCACTGCCACCATTTTAAAACTGTTTCTCTCTCTCCCCATTTATCTATGACTGTGTTTTTATGATGACAGCTGGAGTTGGAAAATATTTGAATATTAAGGGTAAAAATATAAATTTGAAAATAAAGCTATACTATGCCATTTGACTTAATTTGTGTGTTTTTATTTCCAGTAAATCACATATTCTCCCTAAACTTGGCATAGGTCTGTAGACCCTTTAGTAAATTTGTAGCTAGATTTTTTTTTTTTTTTAGACTTCAGAAATGATACGGATGATATAATTATGTCCGTCCTTTTTAAAAAATTTAATTTAACTATTTTTAGAGATAGGGTCTCACTCTCTCCCCCAGGTTGGAGTGCACTGATGAAACCATAGCTCACTATAAACCTCGAACTCCTCTACTCCGGCAGTCCTCCCCCTATAGCCTTTTGAGTGGCTAGGACTATAGGTGCATGCCACCATTAGTGGCTAATTTTTTATTTTTTTTGTAGAAATGGGGTCTTGCTATGTTGCCCGGGCTGACCTCAAACTCTTGGGCACAAGCGATCCTCCCATAGGTATGAGCCACTGTGCTCTGCCTCTTCTTTCTGTTTTATTTCTTCTGTCACAATTCATCTTGTTTCTGGAGAAAAGCAAATAAACGCACATATCCCTTTGATTTATGCCCACTGTACTTTGGTGTTTCATTTAAGGTTTTATTCTTTGTAGTTAATTTGAGTTTAGAAGGACATTTGAGGCCAAAATCAACCAAACAATTAATTTTATGTTCTTGCACTTAGGAACCGCTTAGAAAATGTGCCTGAGTGGGTATGTGAAAGCCGAAAGCTAGAAGTTTTGGATATTGGCCATAATCAAATATGTGAACTTCCTGCCCGGTGAGTATTACAGATCAAGTGAGAGGACCTCACAATAGATGAGCAGTTTTGAAAATTGCTGACTCAGTGTTTCACTTGGTATCATAAGCCCAAAAAAGTTTGCTTTAAAAACTAATATGGTGTCTTTCACCCTGTGTGGTGTCTTCAGTTACAAAGTTTCTTCATGCATTGCAGTGAGGAGTAAAGTATGGCTTTTGATTCTCAGCCAGACTTCTCAAAACCATGCAGGCAGTGGTGCTTGGTGGAAATTTTTAAATAAGCCAAAAACAATCTTTGAACCAAACAATATGATTGGTTCACTTCTGGGGTCTTAAGTCTTTCAGAATCTTCCATCTCTGTTCATTGACTTCATATGTCTGCTTTAACCATAAATACCTTTTGTTCTCCCTAGACTTTAACTTTGAGGGGGGAAAAAAGATGGTTAGATCATGAAACCTAGAAAGAGCAGACTGGATTCTCTTTTTCTTGTGAAATTTGTGAGTAAAAGGTTCAAGAACTTCTCTTTCCTTTGCTCTCTCAAATATGTTCTTATTTTTAATTTCATAATTTTCACTTTAATGGCAAGATTTGCAAAACAGCCGTGTGATGACTTTTATTGTCTGTAAACATAGACAAACATTTTCAAGTTATTTATTCATGGTCTAAAATATTAATGGATTTTAATGACTAGCCATGCAGTTAGTAAACAAGAGAGTCTATCCAGTGCTGTCCTGTAGAACTTTCTGTGATGATTGAAGTGCTGTGTACCTGTGCTACTGGCCACATGTAGCTATTGAGCACTTGAAATGTAGCTAATGATGTGACTGAGGAACTGAATTTTGTGTATTCATTAATTCGTGTAGTTACTTGTGGTGAGTGGCTGCTTCATCTCAGATCTTATTTCCACCATTCTCAACCAATTACTCAACAGAGGAAGTCAGTTATTTTTAGCTATGTATAGTCAAAAATATCAGTGAAAATACTGTAGAGGTATGTCACCATGTTGGAGTAAACTTTCACTTTAGATATACAATCTTTAAAGATATGCGATCAGCATTCCTGTTTTCTTACCAAGAAGGTACACTTGCTTGGTAAGCCTAGTAAACATATTAAGAGTTAAGTTGTCCAATGTGGTAGCCCCTAGCCAGCCATTTAGCCAAGTGACTGTTGAGTGCCTGAAATATGACTAGTCCTAACTGAGACATGCTGTAAGTGTAAAATATACGCTGAATGCAAAATATTAATAATAGTGTACATTAATTACATGTTAAGTTAATACTTGGGGTATATTTTGGGTTAAATGAAATAATACTCTAAAAATTCATTTACCTGTTCCTTTTTACTTTCTTTTAATGTGGCTACTAGATAATTTAAAATTACATGTGGCTTATATTTGATAACACTGTTAGAATGTAGCTCTTATTAAAGAAACCGGAGTTACATTTTCATCCCTGAAAAGCTCTGTTAATTTCATTGTGTTCCTCAGCAATGCATTATACTTTTCCACATTGAAAGTGCGCTCTGCCTTAGAATATTATGTTGACTGAGCATTTAGGTTACCCATTGCAGCCATCACCATTAACAAGAGGGTGTGTTTGTGTGTGTGTGTGTGTGTGTGTGTGTGTGTGTCCATGCATGAAAACAGTAGGGAATAAATAATTTGTCAAAAAAAAATTTTTTTTTTTTAGACGGAGTTTCGCTCTGTCACCCAGGCTGCAGTGCAGTGGTGTGATCTCAGCTCACTGCAACCTCTGCCCCCCGGGTTCAAGCAATTCTCATGTCTCAGCGTCCCAAGTAGCTGGGACTACAGGCACACGCCACCATGCATGACTAATGTTTGTATTTTTAGCAGAGATGGGGTTTCACTGTTGGCCAGGCTGTTCTTGAACTGCTGACCTCAGGTGATCTGCCTGCCTCCCAAAGTGCTGGGATTATGGGCATGAGCCACCACACCTGGCCTTTTCTTCTACTTTCTCTGTTCTCTTTCCCCCTTCTACCCCTCAATCCCACAGATAGCACATTAGCATCCAAGGCGTCTTCTGCTGAAGGCTACAAAGATGTATTTTATATATTATACATATTTATATATGTATTTATATATTTTATACATTATATATTTATTTTTTATGTATATGTAAACAAACAAATGCAAGGTAACTGACCTTTTATCCAGTTTCCCCCCCAAATTCATTGACCTTTCATTTGTTCTGTGTCAGAACAGGCTTTTTGAGAATCTAAACACATGCTTATTCAATGCAAATCCCAAACGCTCTATTGTTAAAGAATTTAAACAGTATTCTTGTGTGTGTGTGTGTGTTTTTAAAACACGGGACAAAAAGAGTATGTATTGTTTTCCTGTTTATAATGTTGTTCAGTTGCAAACTCTATGTGAGCCCTATTGTTGATGTAATAGACAAAGCTGGCCACCGTAGCTCTTGCCGGTAGTCTCAGCACAGCGGGAGGCCAAGGCAGGAAGATCAGTTGAGCCCAGGAGTTGAAGACCAGCCTGGGCAACATTGTAAGACCCTATCTCTACAAAAAATAAAATTAGACATGGTGGTATGTGCCTGTAGTCCTAGCTACTCAGGAGGCTGACGGAATAATTTGGAAAAGACGGGAAAAATAAGTTCAAGAGACCTATTGTGTAGGATTGTAACTATAGTTACAACGATGTCTTGTATTCTTGAAAATAGCTAAGGGAGTAGATTTAAATGCTCTCACCACAAAAAAATGATAAATATGTTAATTAGCTTGATTGCATATGTTAATTAGCTTGATTTAGCCATCCCACAATGTATCCCAGGTATATATATATGTATTTTTTTTTTTTTTGAGACGGAGTCTTGCTGTGTTGCCCAGGCTGGAGTGCAATGGCACCATCTTGGCTCACTGCAACCTCTGCCTCCCGTGTTCAAGCAATTCTCCTGTCTCAGCCTCCTGAGTAGCTGGGATTACAAGCATGAGCCACTATGCCCCCTAAATTTTTAAAATATTTTTAGTAGAGACAAAGTTTCACCATATTGTCCAGGCTGGTCTCGAACTCCTGACCTTGTGATCCGCCCACCTTGGCCTCCCAAAGTGATTTTTGTTAATTAAAAATTAATTTTAAAAAATTGTGGGCATTTGAGAGTGAGATCAGAATGGTGGAAAACAGGAGATGGATGAGGAAACCTCATTCTTTGGCAGCAGATTGATAAATTAGTCTTAATCTAAAGTGATCAGGATGCAAATTGTAACCTCACTTTTCCCCAACCCCCAGATGTGTGTTTAAACCCAGGGCCTGTATATTCTCTGTAACTGTTAGAGAACCTGAAGTGGTCGTAATGTAGATTTACATTAGATTAACAAGTATTCATCATTTCTGACAGTTCTGATGACCTTTACAAGAAACACAGCCAAGCTTCCAAATGGCTTTTTAAGTCTCTCAAGAAAATAGTGGATTAAGTACCTGCTACTCTCTTTGGGAGGGAGTCTCTGCCTCAGTCTAAGATTAAGCTAGAAGAAAACAGAGACATACAGCCAGGGAAGTGAGGCAAGGAAGAAACAATTAGGATTGTGAAATGCAACTGAGGAAAAACATAACATTTTCTCAGTTAACATTTGTAAAAGTTTGATTGAAGAACCCTCCTACTCTTACTCATTTTTCGGTCTTTTGCCCCTTTTTGTATAGCTTATTTTGTAATAGCAGTCTCCGGAAACTACTGGTAGGACACAATCAGTTGGCAAGGCTGCCTGAAAGGCTAGAAAGAACCTCGGTGGAGGTCTTGGATGTGCAACACAACCAGCTCCAGGAGCTCCCTCCTAACCTTCTGATGAAGGCTGACAGGTAAAGCCATTTGTCTTGTTTGTTCATCTGAGCCTGTAAATACTCCCTCATTTATATCTTTGTCCTCTGTGACCTGAGACTGTATAAACTTTCTGATTGTGTGTCTGTCCCAGATTTATGAAGGAAATAGTTTTGCCGGCCACTTTACTGACCATTTTGTAGGTGATGGAGTCAGGAGCATCCTGTAGATTCTTTATTAACTTTGCTGCTCTCTGGAGTGAACTAGGTTACATTATCCATAAACACGTGTCATGGGGATATAGGTGTCAAACAAGGATGAGAAATGTGCTCCTGTGTTACTACCTGGTCACATCCCATGCCAGGCTTAGCTTCATTGTCTTATGATTCTCTCCTCCTGCTTTCACATGTTTGTGACTTTGGGTGATGGGGATGTATTGTCCTAGAGTTAGCTTAGTTGTTGTCACTGATTTTTGTTGTTGTTGTTTGTTTTTGGTTTTTTGAGACAGAGTCTGACTCTGTCGCCCAAGCTGGAGTGCAGTGGTACAGTCTTGGCTCACTGCAATGTCTGCTTCCCAGGTTGAAGCAATTCTCCTGCCTTAGCCTCCCAAGTAGCTGGGACTACAGGCAGGTGTCACCACACCCAGCTAATATTTTGTATTTTTAGTAGAGATGGGGTTTTGCCATGTTGGCCAGGCTGGTTTTGAACTCCTAGCCTCAAGTGATCCACTCGCCTCAGCCTCCCAAAATGCTGGGATTACAGGTGTGAGCCACCACGTCCAGCAGTTGTTACTGTTTTTTAATCCATCCTTCTTATCTTTACCATAATTTCCTCCATTTTCAATTAAGTTATTTTGTTTTGAACAAACAGAATTTTTCTAAATTACTTGCATCGTACACTAAGCATTTGAAGAAGTTGTTTTGAATGGGAGGAAGAGATTAATTCAACATTGAGTGAAGCTCTGTTATTTTGTTGTGATGAGTTGCCATATACAGAATTTTCTTTAAAGAAAGCTTTAAGTAACACTTGGCTGTTAACTTACTTTGGAGCATCTTGTTTGCTTCAAAGCCCATGTGCATCATTCTAAAATGTTTTATGGGCTGATAGCCTGAATTATTTTGACTTCTGCTCCCATGTTTATTTTTAGTGAGTGACCATTACTTTAGAGACAATATGAAGGATCTAACTTTTAGTGTATCTCATGATGAAGACAAAAAAGTTAAATTTAATTTTGCTTCTGGAAGTGCAGAGAAGAGAAGGAAATGATGATGGATCTTTTTATCTTACAAATGTTAGCTATGTTTCAGCATGTGTGATATTATGTGGGTGAAATGGTCTTCTGTGATCTCTGGCTCTCCTAAGCCAAATTAGATTTCCCACTGCATGTTCCTAAATCCCTGTGCTTACTCCTATCATAATACCCATCGCACGCTGTATTGTAATTTCTTGTTCACTTGTCTCTGCATTATTAGATTACTAACTCCATGCAGCCCATGACTCTTTCTCAATTGTAGTTTCATCATCAACATCTTACACTGTGTCTGGAATAAAGGAAAGTGCTCAAAAAATATTTGTGTAATAAATGATAGAGAATTTAAGGAATTTCAAATACTGCCTTTATTCCTGGCTTTCTAATTTTTTCTTCCTCATCTTTTCCATAAATCTTTAATAAGATTTTGCTATGAAAATATGATATACATTCAGTAAAGTGTCCAACTTTTAAGCATACTGCTCGATGAATTTTTACATATTTGTAGAAATGGTTGCAGGAACCACTTTACCTAGAACAAGATATAGAACATTTCTAGCACTCTTCCTTTTCCTTTTGTTCTGTTTTCCTCACTTAAAAAGAAAATTATCTTCAGTGTACTCATGTAAGTTATGACTAATTCCAACTGGAATAATTATAAAGAAATAATAGAACTGTGAGAAAACGGGATTGCCATATTGTAATTGGCCAGTACTGTGTCATCCTCCTGGTAAACAGTAAACTGTTTCAAGATCATTGAAAGAATTCTTATTTTTTGGTTTTTGGGTGTTTTGGTTTTTTTGAGGGAGAGTTTAGGTCTGTGGCCCAAGATGGAGTGCAGTGGCATGATCTCAGCTCATTGCAACCTCCGCCTCCCAGGTTCAAGTGATTCTCTTCCCTCAGCCTCCCAAATAGCTGGGATTACAGGTGTTTGCCACCACACCTGGCTAATTTTTGTAATTTTAGTAGAGATGGGGTTTCCCCATGTTGGCCAGGCAGGTCTTGAATTCCTGACTTCAAATGATCCACCTGCCTTGGCCTCCGAAAGTGCTAGGGTTACAGGCATGAGCCACCACACCAGGCCAGAATTCTTGTTTTTACATTAATATCAAAGCACAGTATGCAGCAGACAGATCACTTTAGACAGATGCTTTTTTGTTGTGAATACTATAAAATTTAATTTCTTCTCCTATGGAGAATTATAAATTATGTCATAAGGAGAATCCACTTGTTCCTTTAGAGTTCTACACTGAATCTGTAGAACCAAATAAGTGGATGGATTTAGCTTTTAGGAGTCTTTGAGTGAAATAAAAACCCTTTCTGAATCTGGCCAATTCTGGTAGGTTCACAACTATTAAAGGTGAACAGTGCTAGAATTTCCAATAGATAATAATCATTCTTTATTCATTTCTGAGAATTTGGTTTTACAAAGACGTTTCTGTGTTTCATTCTCTGGAGACTGTATTTTCATGTTTAGATATGTTTGGACAAGGATTTAAGTAAGAACAATGGTAATTTTAGGGGATTCTGATGACTCCCAGGATTGAGAACCACTGCCTTCCTTGTTGACTTTGTAGTTCTGTACAGGTCACTCTAAACCTCAGTTTTCTCATTTTGCTTTTCGTGCAATTTCCAAGTGGAACCTGTATGTTGGAAAAGGAAGGATTATGTGAAATGGAACGTGAATGTGAACTGGACAAAGATGTGAAGTGAGCCACTGGAAGGACACTGCTATCATAAGCTAGGCCAGCAGTGTTAGCTAAAGGCGTTTAGGCAGAAATTCCCATACAAATAGACTGACCTGTCTTCAGCCAGCTATGTTTTTGAAAACAGAGGCTGTTGAGGAGAATTTGCCAGCCTTTTGAGGCTGTGAGGGGAGGACAGGGCAGGATAAATGGATTTCTGGCACAGGAGAGTCCTGGAGTAAAAGGTTGGGTGAATGAGAAGGAGCAAATATCTGGGTTTATTTTATGAGAGTAAAACAAATGACCAAAAAATGGCAGAAATAAGAAACTTTTTCAAGAAGGCGTATACCCACACCTTTGTTTTTTATTGTATAATTGCTACACCTCCAGCATAGCTTCGCAACTGATTTAGTAGAATAAGAAGGAAACGTTAAGATTGTTGATTATCTCGGGCAGACAGGATTATATGAAGTGGGTGCCATAAATTTGATTTCCTGTTCTTTCAAACCATATTTTTGTGTTATTTCACTTTTTAAAAGATAAGAAAAATAACATGGAGATTTTTACCTACCTATTTTAAAAAACGTTTTTACATTTTGAGACATAATTTAAGCTCAGGAAAATTTACAAATATTTTTTATTTGGTTTGATGAGTTTGAGGGGGAGTGAATAAACTAGTACTGACAGTTGTTGAAGTAGGCCAACTCAGAAAACATGAGATTTAAAATATTAAAGACAGTTTTTAGGAAAGATTCTTTGTGACCGGCTTCTTGTGGGGTAGTTTCAGTTGTGATTTGCTTTTGTTCACATGGTTCAGTGTAGCAAACGTCTCACTGAGTTTAAATCACTGTACTGGATGCTGTAGGACATTGAAAAATGACTAAACATAGGAATTATCCTCAAGAAGCTTGCAATCTGATGAGTTTAAAGTAACTGCACAATCAACCATAGTGAAAGGTAGGTTTAAGAAGGTAGAATAGATGGAAAATGATAAGGTTGATCTAGTATAATTTAGTCTCATGGTATGAAGAGCAACACTTTGTTGTTGTTATGATACGAAGCTGTGTGTTTGGCAGATAGCTGCAGGCATTGGTGAAAGTTGGCTTCAGTTGTCCTTCCATTCAGTATGCTACATAATACAAATCTTAAAAATATGTAAATTCCTTTTTTATATTTGCGTGATAATAAATTATAGTTACAGTTCTGTGTTTCATTATACAACTGAGAAAAAAAAAGTCCGGTGTGGTGGTGCTCACCTCTGGTCCCAGCTCCTTGGAAGGCTGAGGTGGGAGGATTATTTGAGCCTAGGAGTTTGAGGCTGCCGTGAGCTGTGATCACGCCACTGCACTCTAGTCTGGGTTACAGAGTATGACCCTGTCTCAAAAAATAAAAAAAAGATATTACAGCTTTAGAATAGTATATATTAATCTGCTATACCTGGTAGCAGGAAGCTATTTGGTAACCAAATAAGAGACAGGGAAATCTGCGTTGAATTAGACAACTTTTAGTCATCTTCATCTTCCTCTCAATACTTGAGGAAGGTATTCTAATCTGGAACACGGGCCTAGATTTCTCATTTTATCTGTCTTCTTAATTAGAGTTGAGAATTTTCCTCATGGATACTCCAGAAGAGTTTCAGATAATTAGTTGTCATCAACAGATGGGTACGGGAAGGGTAGACATTCTCCATGGGTCACCGGTGTGGATAAGACATTGCCAGAGGGACTGCCATCCTTCTGTTTCTTCCTGAAATCTTGGCAATGGCTGACTCCCTGTCCACCTAGCATCTGCACGCACATTTGATGGCCAGACACCTTCTCCTGATGAATTCAGCCTAACAAAGCCCAAATGAACCCTTTAAAGGAGAGTAATAAGTTCCTGTTGTGGGAGAGCAGCTGGGTCTGTTTTTATTCCTGGTTGGACTAGGACAAGGTATTTTCAGGGGTATAAATTGGAGAAGTGTATGTTCAAATGAGCTTCATGGTAATTGCTCATGTGTTTATTAAATATTCCCAGAGTATTAGTCACATTACAGACCATAAGTTTTAGTGACTCAGACAGAATATGTGTAAATATCAAAGGGACTAAAAGGGAACAGATAATTTAG